TAAGTTATGATTTAAAATTTAATGCTTCAAATATAGTATTCAGTTCCAGATGAATAAATACATAATATAAATTAAATATAATTGATTTCATTTTTGAGTTTAAAGGAAAAAGAAACTCAGGTTTGTAACAAATGATTATGTAAAGATCTATTTTGCCTTGTCAGCAAAGAAAAAACAACAAGCTAGAACCAAGAACCCCTTTACCCTAGGATATAAAAAAATTCTATGATTTTATGTTTGTAATTACATCTTTTTCTTCCTGTGGGACCTGGGTTTACTTTTGAGGATAAATGTTTTGAGAAGAGCCCTTCTGTGTCTTTGTGTGGCAGTCCCTCTTTGCTGTGCATGTGTTCTCCAACTACACAGCACACGAAATGCACTCTAGGACCACGCTTTAATGAAGAAGGCTAGGCATGTCTGCATGCTTTTTATTTTAAGCTCATAGGGATTTAGTGATTGACTTTGTCTTGGTTGTTTATATAATTAAAGTCCTGAGCAGAGCCACATAGTGTATTTGGGTTGTGATGGTGGTCTTTTGTGTATGTTGTTCGCATTAGTAATTATCTTTTGCCTTTTTTCTTATTCAGCTCTGTGGAATTTACATCTTCTTTTCACTGTTTTCATATTTCTTAAACAGATTGTTAGGAAATTTGCTAGTTACATGAATCAAAAATCAGTAATCCTAGCCTCAAAGGTTTTATTGAAATTTCATGAGATCTTCAAAATGTTGATTTTCACAGAGATATAAAGATGGAGTGTTTTTTTTTAAGGGTTTGCAAAATAATTTAGCCCCAAACTCTTGCTGGGAAATAATATTTGTTAGAAACCTGAGTTACCTGCCCTAGGCTTAAAATGCTTGTGATTGAGGTGGAGAGGTACTCTCAGAATAAAAAAGCATACAAAAACTGTTTGTTGCAGATGAGGAGTCCAGTGATTACTGATGAGAATTAACATTTTTGAGCAATGATGTAAGGGTAACTTTGAGTTGGATGTTTGTAAATAGAGGGTGAGTGTTACAATAGAAGACTATTCAGAGCAAAACAAAGTAGCTTCTATAGAAAAAAAATACAGGAAAGTAAGTCTTTTTGTATGCTCATTATTAATTTGAAATCATATTGTAAGATTTTTTAAAACTATCTTTTCGTTTCTTGGAGAAGGAGTTCAAGATATATCTTGGCAAAATATATTTTATATTATTATGTAGAGGGTTATGTGGCCAGGTAAGTTTGGGAAATGCTGGGTTGGACAAAGTTAAGTTACTGTGGGCTTTTCAGGACCTTGGATATGCTGTGGTGTGATTTCAAACTCTAAGAAGGGCCTGTTATTTTATATGCCATTTCCCTAATTTATTTTTATGTGGATTTTTTTTTAAGTAGGTGTCATGTGAGATTTTTGTCCTGGGAAATACACTTAGGGAAATGCTGCCCTAGAGTGTTTTTGCTTGTTTGTGCTCATTGCAAAGGTTTCCTGTTGTTGGCTGCCCCTCTAGTGAGTGGTGATAAAATGGGAAGAGACAGGTTAGGAATCCCTTGGACCATGGAGTTGACGGAGGAGTCACTGAGGTTTAGTTAAGTTGCTTGTTTAGGCACATGAAGTCACATGTTGGTCAGTCCAGCCTCTTTCCCTAGAATCCCAGGTGGCTTGGAAGAGCTGTACAGGGATGTGGACTGGTGGTTTCAGAGAACTAACCACTTCTTAGGCATCTATGAAACAGAGGGAACCAACTTGGAATTCTAGAACAATTTTCCAAACTGTTTTTGGTTATACTTTAAAAGTGACAAAAAGATTTCATGTATAACTGAAAAATTGTGCTTCACAGTGGAATTTGATACAACATTGTGAAATGACTATAACTCAATTAAAGAAAAGTTAAAAAAAAAAAGAAAATTCACTCATCAAACTAATCACAGTTCCCTATAAATATTATATCTGACAAAAGTCTAGGGATACATACGGTTTTGCAACCTTCGCTGCACAAGGTCATAGATAACACTGTGTTAAATATATAGTTCATAGCTGCATTCACTTTGTATTCTTTGTGACATTTTATTGGCTCTCATGCTGTTATGGGTAATAGGGTAGTGTCCACAGAACCAAAAATGGCAAAAGAGTTTTTCTTCCATTACCTGTGCTTTTTCCTTTTTTAAAATAAGAAAATCATAAGAAGAGCACAGTAGGAAGTTGTCTCCAGTTCAAATTAAGAATCAAATATTGTAGCCAAAGGAGAGTTTTTAAAAAACAGTTCTGTGTTTTTATATAGAAAACTGTTGTATTTTTTGAAACTTGTAATTATGTGAAGTGATGGATATTAAGTAAACATTATGGCAATCATTTTGCTATAGACACATATATTGAATAATTATGTTGTATACCTTAAACTATTACAATGTTACATATCAATTATATATGAATAAAACTGGGGAAAATATTTAAAAATATAAAAGTAACAAAAGGCAGTGGTATTTATAGCCCTAACGTCACATACAAGCTGGTCATTATATACACACAGTGTCATAGAAAGTTCACAGTTGCTTTGGTGACAAAAACAAAGGAAATTTAATATTTTCAAGATCTATTACTGAAGATATGGTCTAAATGAGGATTGTATGTTTATGTGTGCATTTTCTAAGATGAGGGTTTAGAGTTTTTTATTAAATTCTCAGCTGTTTTTATATCCTAAAAAACTTAAACCTCTCTAGACCTCCAAATTTTAGAAGACTAAATATGTTTGATTTCATTTCAAAGTATGAAACCAGTTCACAAATCAGGTGTAAGGATGCTCTTTGTTTTCCGCAATGTATACTGTTGCATATTTGGAAATGCATGCTTTGAATGTGTATTTGATAGAAAGCTTGCCTTTGGGTTTGAGTTGTGGTGTAATGGTGAACATCTCGCCATGTGAAAAGCAGTTGGATCTTTGTTCTGATCCTTTAGATTTCCTCATGCAAATTTGGAGAAATGCCTTTTAATCATTGAGTTTACATATTGCAGATCCTTGGAAGTCAGGAAAAAAAGACTTGCCAGAGTTTGCATCAGTCCTGAGCGAGTCATGCAGTATAGAGAAGGCTATGCCGGCCATTTGTTCTTGGGACTGTTGGCTGCCTCTCCTGCAGTGCTGGCATCTTTATTTCTTGGAGAAGGACGGGTGTACTCAAGCTTTTATGTTAATTGCATAAAGATGAGCTTTATTCTTCTTCTGACTTGATATTTTATTTTGTAAACTGAGAAATAATGCCTTTCCATTTTTTCTGTTCATTCCTGAAGTGGAAATCTTAGGTGTCTGTAATGTAACTTTAGCTTCCTGGAAGACTGATAGCAAAGAGGACAATAGGAAATACATGTATACTCATACTGGTTTTGTTCCATCAAGCTCATCTTTGAATGGTAAACATTTCAAACATCTGTTCTAGTGTACAAATACTGTAGTTCTGTTATAAAGTAAACAGTCTTAAAATAAGCAATGTTGATCACAATTTCAATATTCTAGCCTTGCCTAGTGCAAATATATTTTACTCAGAGACTATGTATAAATACCCAGAAGTGGTGATGATGATCATTGTTGTAAAGAATTTATTCTGATAAATGAGAAACTGGATACAATGTTGAAATTGCTATTTTTCACAATAAAATCTCAAATTGCTTGAATGTTTATTAACTCCTGGTTTAATGTTATTTATTTCTGGAGGTGAATATTTCATTGGGGAGAATTTTTGGGTGGTTGAAAATAGTTCTGTACTAGAACTAGGCTAGATAGAGGGTTGTTCTTTTTAAAATATCCATTCTTTGGAAAGATACCACATGCTCCTGGATTGGAAGGGCCAATATTGTTAAAATGGCCATACTGCCCAAGGCAATCTTCAGATTTAATGCAATCCCTATCAGATTACCCAGGACATTTTTCACAGAACTAGAACAAATCACATTAAAATTTATATGGAATCACAAAAGACCCAGAATTGCCAAAGCATCACTGAATTAAAAGAATGAGGCTGGAGGAATAACCCTCCTAGACTTCGGACAATACTACAGAGCTACAGTAATCCAAACAGCATGGTATTGGTACAAAAACAGACATATAGACCAATGGAACAGAACAGAGAGCCCAGAAATGAATCCACAAACTTTTGGTCAATTAATCCTTGCCAAAGGAAGCAAAAACATACAGTGGAATAAAGACAGTCTCTTCAGCAAACGGTATTAGGAAAACTGGACAGCTGCATGTAAATCAATGAAGTTAGAATATTCCCTCAAACCATACACAAAAATAAACTCAAAATGGCTTAAAGACTTAAACATAAGACAAGACACAATAAATCTCCTAGAAGAAAACATAGGCAAAACATTGTCTCACATACATCTTAGCAATGTTCTCCTAGAGCAG